GTCACCGAAGGGAGACGAAGAGAGCTCTCTGTGTCTCACTTCTTCAACGCCGCTCGTGACNTGTGGAGTTTCATTTTTTCTAACTCTTGGTGGAACTCTAAAGCAGCCACCTCCACGTGGTGAGTTCTGGGTTGTCATTCGTCTGGAAATGACGAAGGGCAAGCGAAGAGCTGCGTGTTTCCATTACATTGAATGTTATAATAAGAAATTAAAATATGCCAATTGAAGCAGAAATTACAAAAGTAATCAGAATTAGGAGAATTAAGTATTTAACTTTGGTATAAATTGCTTTAATTTTTGTCTAAGTATTAATTCCTTCGTTTCAATCGTGATTTTACCTAATGCTGCAGATCACGTTTCGTTAAAGCCAAGTGTATTTTTCTATGGAAATTGTAATAAAATTAAAAATGTAGTTCCTTTAAAACTGCAAAACTCTCCTAAATTCTATAAAAATGATGTAAAAAATTTTACATGATATTTTCAATTTTTTTAAATTTTGTTTCACTAATGTACACTTAATAAGCTACATATTTCACAACTTTTACACCATTTCTTGTTGTCCTTTGCAATACAATCTAAAATAAACAAAGTTAAACGTATACTAATTGTTTCAAGACGATAATTCTATCATTATGAGTAGGTAGGCCTGCTTTTTATAACACTTTATAAATTACTAGCTTGTTGTTAATCGTAAATTTCAAAAATGTATGTAGTAAAACCCATTTTAAGAACTTTATCAAAATGCCCACAAACTACGTGGGAAGTATGTTTTCGTAAATAGCAATTTTGTACAAAAATTACTAGAATAAGCTTTGTTTATTTGGTTACAGCAGGACTTTTACGGAAACTGACTCCTATTTAGGTGTAACAAACGTAAAGAAAGCCCCGAAAACTCAATGTAGCCAGCCCTTTGGCAATGCGCGAACCCACGACCAACTACACAGCGTTTGGTGGTTTTGGTGTGAGCTTGGCGGAATCCACGATAGATATTAAAAAAGACCCATAGAACGGAGTGTTAAAAAAATAATAATAATATCTCTCCCGTGGTCACCATTTGATCGTGGTGGGATAGTGCAGTAATTTTACTGATCCATAGAGCAATGCACGCTGAAGCACAAGACACCCATGCAAGAAAGGTCTAAGGGGAGAAATGAAACTAAAAGTGACCACTCCCACATTTTGTGGACATAATTACTATGGTATTGATAGTAACCAGGTTTAAGTGTGATATCGACTCGGACGTACCCTGGGTAAATAAGGTCCGCGTTCGTGGGTTAGGCAGAGACTCATGTTCGAAATATAGGCTATAGTCTCTCTCGGTTACCGGTGGCGAAAGCGGCGCCGGCCCAATCATGGCTACTGCAATGCCCTCAACAGATTTCAGGAATCAACCTAGCCTTGGTGTTTCTGTGGTAATGCATCTACCACAAATGCTGGAAAACCACGCCAATAAATGAAATGGACGATGGAAATGAACGAGTTTATCATCCGTACTTACTACACCATCACAAAACTCGAAACAAACATGACAGCATACAGACAACAACTACACCACAGATTCACACAACAATATCCTCACCTCACTGTCACTGAACAAAGGGTTGTTGATCAAAAACGAACAATTATACAAAACAATCTTATCCCACAAACAATGCTTCAACTTATCAAACAAAAGGTTGCTGATCAAATACATCAACAGACAAAAAGATTTAACATTAATGAAGATCACCTAACCTGTCCGGATATTCCAGCAACAAGCACTGTTTATAGCACACACATACACACACACACAAACCAACTACCACTAATTATACTACGGACACTCCCTCGTCCACTACTGATAACAAAAACATAGCTTTAGTTAATACGCAGTCAATGTTATTTCAGGAAACACTCACTAAATATACAGGAACAGATCCCACACAAAGACTACGTATACCAACAGGAACAGATCCCACACAAAGAGTACGTATACCAAAATGCAGCACGTCTAAAGTAGTAGGAAAAACACTAGATTATGTAAACACTCAGTTACTATCACACTACAACCATTTAATTTCTACACTCTCAGACATTCATACATTAGTTTATGCAGTCACTGTAGTAACACTCCATGAACTGAGAATACAATCGCAGACAGATACACACAAAACACAATTCTATCATAAGCCCGCCTGAAAAAGAAAAATAGAAACACAAATAAATGGCATTACACTGCAAATAGAAAGGCTGACACAGTATGCTAAAAACAACTTAATACCCAAATTAATTAAACAAAAACAAAAAGTGTAAGTGTGTTTCCTTAGTAAGGAAATACACTTACACTTTCCTTAGTAAGGAAATACACTTACACTTTCCTTAGTAAGGAAATACACTTACAAGAATTTCCTTAGTGCCACAGTATTTCTTTAGTAAGGGTTGCCCATTCGCATTCTTGATAGCAATGGAATTACGACGCGTGTACGTCTCAAGGAGTTTAGCGTCGAGGGCACGGTACTAGTCAAGAAAATGTACCTGGATAGCAAGTATGACAACCGGTGTGAAGGACTCGCCATAGTAGAAAAGCGGGAACGAGAGTGGGACTACCGGAAAAAGTTGGAGGGCGGTAGAACGAAATGGGTCTATGTCAAATAATATCGCATTCAATGTCCTATATTACGTGTATTTCCATTGTTTATCAGCGTCATTCTAAATTATTATAATTTTTCTTTTAAACTCTATATATAGTCTTTAATTTAGGTTTGTTCAGAAAGTAAAAATTTAAACTCTACTTTTGTTTTTTTTTTGTTTACAAGACAAAAATTTACTATTACAGAGCTTAAATGTTATAATGGAGATTTTCTGTATTTGCAGGAGTATTTTATTTTTCCGGCTGTTATGTATATCTAACAAGGGAAAGTATTGAAATTGCGTCAAATTTGCAAATCTTCACGTTTTCAGATTTCCTAAATGCAAAATTTCCAAAAAATATTATAGATATGCGTGTGTCTGCATGTTCCATAAGAGTCTGTTTCGTTTAATAGATTACAATGGCGTAAACATTAAGAAAGATTTTAATTGAAAATAGCACTTAAATTTTTATTATAAAACTCATCTCTATGCTTATTATTAAGCTGTTTGTCATTACTTAAAAATTCATAATATAACAATTACTTTTTAAAGAAAATCTCATAGCAAATAGTGCTACACACAACTTCACTTTTATGCTACTATGTTCTGGTGTTTTTCGCCGAAAAAATTACATAACTCTTTGCTTAATTTTTTATTAAAAACAAACTTAATTTACAATAGAATGAAATGCTAGCTACATTGTATCTGTAAAATGAAAATACAGCAATAAATTTTTGTTACATATTGCTTTTATTCCCGTTCACAAATTGTTTACAGTCGACCCCCCCCTATAACACTGTTTTTCCGTTTTATATGAATTCCATGATGTACGAGTCACTTAGATTTTACAAATACGTGTGCTGGGCTGTGAACGGCTCATGTATTTGTAAAATCTAAGTGACTCGTACAACATGGAATTCATATAAAACAGAATTATCAACAGTGTTATACGGGGATCGACCGTATTTTAAAACAGACTACATTACGTACACGGCTTATGTAAAGAATACATCTGCAGGAATTAGATGTAATATTTTGTTTTCTATAATTTCTGTAGACAATATTCTCAGACGTCTCTACGTGATTTATTTCATGTTAAATTATTCGAAGCTAATACACTAAAATACGATTTTTTTAATCAAACAAGATATTGATTGTTTTATTAACACTTAATATTTTAACAACAAAACGCCTATACATTTTACTAATGACCTGAACTATAAAAAACAATTCTCTCATATTTATCAAATTATATTTAATAACTGATATTCCAGTACTACGTGCCTTCGCTCGTTCTATTTTATATCACTGTTATCTATGTATTTTCTCTTATCTATTACTCGTGTTAAAACGTACAAACGTAGTAGATGAGATGTAGACTCTAATAAACAAATAAAAGTAAAATTGTTGTTTACTATTACAGAAAGTAACTTTTAAAATAACAGCCTTAAGCCCATAATCCGAGATATCTCGGGAACGTTACATAACGTTACGAAAAACGCGGGCGTTTGGGCCCCCCAAATTTTTTTTGAAATTTTGGAATAAATTTCCAAAATTTTTTCAGAATTTTTTGCCGGCGCGAAAAAATTTTATCGCGATTTTAATGAGCCTTTGATAAGGCTCGATTAAAGCTTAATTGTCTTTTAATGCTTTTTAATGGGAGTTTTTTATCAAAATTAATTAATCGTTCTAAAGTTGTGCACCGATTTTCCTTTGGTAAAGTTATTTAAAGCTGCTTTCTGATGTCAAAAACGACCTCCGATAGTTTTTTAATTTTTTTAATTAATAGATTTTATTATATATATGTTTAATTAATTAGGGGGGTCGGAAATCGCAATAAAAATTATAATTTTTTAAAAATATTTAAAAATATACGTGTCGCTTATAGTTACCCTACTTTAAATCCTTCTCCTCCCGAGAGGTCTATGAGAATGTTCTGGGAAATATGACACCAGCTGTGTTCAAGGTCATCCAGCTGTGTAAACAATGACTCATCGGTATTATATTTCACAGAAAGACAAGACAAAGGAAAATAAAATTTGAAGCTTTTTCTTCAAAATAAACGCATTTCTTTCGTTTTTTTCAGTTTTAAGTATTTTTTACGTTTAATTAAATTAATGATTATAAAATATCAAAAATCTCAATGTCCTTAAGGGGGTAATTTTTGTAGATGAATCAATGAACATTTTAGTTTGGGATTAAAGAGTGCTTAACGAATCCTAAATGCTTTCATATTTTTATAATAAACGTTTGAATCAGCTGAATATAAAATAGAAAAAATACAAAAAACACGAGGAAAAACGAAACCGTCAAAATTGTTTAAAAAATAATAGGCATTTGTAGAAAAGAAAGTAAATATTTTATGTATTAATGCTACAGCTGTTACGTAATTAAGTCGTCAACTTTTCTTTGATTCTTCGTCTCTGTTATGTTCCGCGGTAATTTTCGATTTTTAAACGTAACGATCGAATGAAATTTCTTAATTATCACAAAGTAACGCGTAACGCGAGAAATGGTAAAAGCGGCTTCTTTTTCTGATACAGAAAGACGAATTGTACGTGGAAGTGCTATACACCATCAAACACAAGATAGGGGCCAACGGCGGCGATTATTCCGTCTACGCGGAGGATCTATACGATTACGCTCAAAAGGCTTTCTGCGTGTCCCAGGAGACGCACAAACGTCTATTTGCCATCGCTCAGGAAGAACAGGTAAGCTTCTAATACCTTTCTTTCCCATTAAACTAAATAAATACTGCCATAAACCCCGGTCTCTCTTAGTTTCTATCGATAAATAACCGGAAAAAGTCTCTTTCTGCCACCGGCTTACTCGCCTCGGACCAACTTACTCCTACTCGAAACTGTTAAAGCATCCACGGGCGAGTTTTAGCGCTGGACGGTCGACCTAATTGTTCGTTGCGACGAATTACCAAATCGTCACAAAGGCTATGACGTATTCAGACGTTAATCCGTTGTCGTTAATAACACGTATACCGATGTATACGCAATATAAGCTTTATTTTAAATATTTAAGCTTATTAAACGTCGTAATCTTCTGTTTAAACAAATATATAACACATATAAGTTATTACTACGGATTAGGATTTTCTCTTATTCGAAAAAAATAGATTTAAATTTCCGACCAAACCGCGCTTCGTAAGAAGTTTGATTCCGGGTTCGAGCCTGGAAACGAAGGGGAAGGGTTGCATCGTAAATAGGCTTCCATCCCAAAGTTTTTATGGGAAACGACGTCGATAATTTAATTTCTATTATTTTTTCAGCCTCCTATTCTGGTTTTAAATTTGATTGTGGTAGAAGCTCAAGGTCTGGAAGCTAAAGATCCTAACGGTGAGTAATTCGCTTTATTTAATTTATTCATAACCAGTCGTCGTTGCCAGACGCGAGACCGGAATCGCTAGACGTTTTCATAAATTTATCGTAGATTTCGCCTAAATTCGGTAAATTATTTTATACAATATATTTGACTGTAATATGTCGGCTCCCGGTCGACGTATCTCCACCCCAAAACTTCCCGAGATTTTTCGACCCCCACTATCTTTTACCCCTATTTCTTTTTACTTTGTCCGCATTAGGCGCAATTAGATTTATCGAGAAACGTATTGTTGTATTTATGCCACTAGAGAATGTATGTGGTACGCTTTTATTTCAGTTTTAACTACACCTACCGTACGTAGGGGCGGTCGCGACAGAAGGAAAGTTTTACCTCTTTATATTCTAACGTACAGTACAATACAAAATACTTCTGGTAAATTTAAAACGAACGTCGTATCGACGGTAGCTTATTCCAGTTTTTCGGCATATTTGAAAGCGCGGTACAATTGGTGAAAAAGTAGGCAGCCGGTCATCGCCTCTTTTAAGTAGTAATTACATCGTTCGATCCGCCTTCCCTTTAATCGAGTGAAGAAAAAATATTTCGATTTTGGCAAGAACGGATCAAATCTGAAAAAACAAATACTTACAATGAAAGCGCGTACTTTTATTAAAAATGCAAATAATCGCATTGTCGCACCGACTCGCCTAATGACATTTTTAACGTCGTTTCGTCGGAAAATATACTAATTTTCTTACTTCTTCGTGCCGCCATCTATTAACGATAACTCCAATTAGAAATTAAACGGCACAGAACGTTTTGTTTTCGTTCTTTATCGCCTTTGTCTCTAACAAATTTCTTCAAACCAGCCTTAAAATGACGTCGCTGTTCATATTTTATTTACGATAATATGTATCAAAAAATAAAATAATTTGATAAACGATAATGCGAAGCTTTGATTAATACCTTCGGAATTGTTTTAATATTATGAGTTTCGTATTGAATTTTCTAGTATGTTAAGAATTGGATATTTTTCGAAGGAAAACATTCGAATTAAATTGTTTTCGGTGCGAATATTAACTACTCGGCAGAACGACGAAGATCGAAGGCGCGCGTAACTTTTGATCTTCCTCGAAAGGTCATACCGTACGAAGTAATCGAGAATACTTGTGACTTATTTGATCGTAAACAGTAAAAACTGGGATTTAATAAATCGCTATTGTTTTCTATCCCTCGTGTCGACGTACCGTATTGTTGAAAACATTGCTATCGGCCTTGGGTTGGCGGGAAGTTTTCTGAGTTTTTTCGTACGTCCGACACGTAATTGGGGACGGTGAAGTTCCACCAAGAATCGTTATTCGTTCGGATGGAAAACGACGCTGACGACCGAATGATTAAATGCTACTTTTAATCGTTCGTTCGTAAATAAAATTTTATTATTTAAACCATTTTTAAACGGAAATAAATATTAATTTTAAAGAAAATTTCAATTACTGTTATAAAAGTTTATTTACAATTTAAAAGCGTTCAACCTGAGATATTTAATTTCAGGTTACAGTGATCCTTACTGCATGTTAGGCATTCAACCGGGAAGCGGAACGGAAGACGGAAGAAGATACAGTTGGGAAGACGAAGTGGCGGAGAAAAGCAAGGGAAGCCCGAGAAGGTTGAGAAAATTTGGCGCTTCGTTAAAAAGAAGAGAGAGGAATCGCAGTAACAGTCTGTCGGACACACTTCCTGCCAAGTTCATTAGAACCACGACAGTTAAGCCCCAAACGCTTTGTCCCAAATGGAACGAAACCTTCCGCCTGTAAATAATCTAATTACCGCATTTTAAAGACAAAAGAAATATCTAAAAATCTTATTGCTTACTTTTTATTTGAAGGGACATTGAAGATATCCGTTCCGATCGCCTTCATCTCGATATCTGGTAATAAACGTTATTAATTTAATATTTATTCCGTGTAAAGTAAATCTATTCTTCGGATGCTTGCCAGTATAAATACAACGTGTACTGACTCGATAATAATAATAAACTGTCCTAATTACAGCTTAAAGGAGAGCGGGGATACATCTCTACCCATCTTTAAACTCGTTCGAGATCCGTCTTTATTCAAAACGACGGTGAATAATTAAATTGCAGTTTAAAAATATACTCGGATAAGCCGTGTACTTCCAATGTGACTTCTGACTTATCCTTGTCGGTGTCTAGAATTATATACTCAATTTAACCAGACATTTCTATTTTAAAATGTATCAAATAGTTTCTAGACCAACCTTTTTAATAATCTATCAGTTTTTCCTATATGTACAGTACAATCGAACCTCCAATAACGACCACTTTCGAACAACGACCATTTTTTATTTTCCTTCAATGACCTTTTTCACTGTAACTTATACAACGTAGAAAAATTTGGGTCAATCATTACTAGATAAAATAAATAAGTATGACTTTACGTACAGTAAAAAAGAAAAAAAAACAAAAGCCATTATTGCGAGTGACGGTTGTTTGGAGGCAGTTTGTTTTGTTCTATTTTACTGAAAAAATGTCATTCACTGTACATAATTAATTACTAATATTATATCATCTATTAAACCAGTTGTTTTCATCTATTCTTTTCTTTACTAATTCTACCAGATTTGGACCTATGATAGACTCATCGAGATTCCATCCTCTTGTTGTAAACGAAACAATAATTTTTATACACAACGGACGGGAGTGGGTTAATTAAATCACTAAATACTGGATCGTGGGTTCGGCCCCCGCCAACTGGTCACGTGGAGTTTTTGGGGTTTACTCGTTTAACACTTAGAGGCCAGTTTTTCATCAGTCTTTATTAACCGCTTCATCCACATTTTTTATTGAGTATATCGAATGTTCTACTAAAATTAATTCTTGTTTTAAATATTTTTCCAAATTATAAGATCGAACCTCGAAAGTCCACAAGAGATGCGCACTTTTTTAACCATCTTTACGCCTTTTAACTTCAGTTTTAATTTCGTTATTCCAATATTACCATTATTTAATATAAATTTCTTCGCTTCCGTCGTAATTAGTTTTAATTTACTCGAATTAGAAAAGCGAATTAATAAATTATACTCTATTATGCCTTTGGGGTCTACAGGCAATTTTCTAAAATTTTCATCACTACTTTATCCTTTAGCCACTTATTTTGTACAATTATTACCCGCTTTGTTTTATGGCTTCTATTAACGTTAAATTATTTTTATCTAAAACGTCTTTAACACATGTTAACTGGCATTTAAATACAGTACTTAGAAACGGTGTTTAAAAAAACATTATCCTCTTATTCCATTATCTTTCCAAATCGCGCTTCATTTGTAATTTAGTATTATCGTTATTATAAACTGATCCTTATTTAGGTGTTAGGCGTGTGAAAAAAACCCAGAAATTCACGCGACCCACCTATTGGTAGACGCAAAGACGTGACCATTACTCGCGCTCGTTGGTTTTATCCGTACAGCCACCGGTAGGCCTTTATATTCTGATGGACCATTTCAATTACTGTATAATCTTTTCCTAAAAATAATTGATACAATTCCCGAGTTTTTCACAAGTAATTTATTCTCCCAATTGATTTTCTGCTGGTTAGAAAGCGAAACTTCAGATTCAACTTAGTTCTTTTTGTAATCTTTAATTTTTAAAAAGGTTCCTAAAATTAAAATGTAGCCTAACTATAGATATAAAAACTTCGGAGATGGACAAGGGTAAGACGCGGCTGTAACATTTCTAATGTTTACCTTCGCATCTTAACCCGCGACTGAATCATTCGCTCTATCGTCCTCGCTCATCTTTAAGCTGGAATTAGGTCTGTTCATTATCGCCATCGCGTCAATGTAAGTTGTCTCAGGCAATCGATAAACCATTAGCAAAGTGAGGTTTTATGAAATTTCTATTGACTTCTTATCTCGAAAAGTCGGGACAGAAAGAAGGCTATCAATAGTCCATTTTATACCTATTAAATAAGAAATTTGTATGAAAGCGGGAAATTATGATTATTTATAAAATAATTCGCTCATTTTATACGATATTAATATACTTTTGATGAGTAAACGAGACTGCAATTATTTTCCGTAATTCAAATCCAGACTAAAACCAAATAAACGAGTTCTCGCGTTTACCAATGTACGAGAATTGAAATTTCAGAATATTTTTGGAAAGAAATTCCAGTTAAAAAAGATACTTTTCTTTATTTTTACACGTTTTTGCCATCGAGCATATAGGAGAGNAAAACCCTGTAAGGAAGAGGCATTAGAAGCGAAAATTAACCAAATCGCTAAACAGATAGAAACTTTAGGGAAGAGATTAGACAATCGGTCCTCGACAGCGCAAACAACTAGTGCGCGAGGAGGAGAATTTAATCAAAATAGACGAATGACGACATCCGCGATGCGAGAGAGACAGGAAGTAGGAAACCCCAATACCTATTCGAGCTCTCCGCGCCGTTTTGGACAGCCCCAGCGCTCACAACAACCACGTTTTCCTACAAATAACCGACCGTCATTGAATTATTCCGTTCAGACCCCTTCGAGACGATACTCGGGATATAATTCACTTCCTTTTAGGTCAAATTACGAATGGGGACCGACAAATTATCGGCAATTTAATCCAAATTGGTTAGAAAGTGGAATTTATGCGTCGCCCCCACTACCCGATTGGTATAGAGGAAACACCGTTCCTCCACCCAATCGAGGGGAGTGGAGAGTAAACCCTAACGCTCCAGAATGGCGGGTTCCTGGTATAAATAATCCCTTTTCATCGCGATATCGGGAACAAATGCCTTTTTATCGAGAACAGTATAGACAGATGGGACCCAAAGACGATCAGGACTTTGAATATTTGCCTTTTAACCCGATGTCTTACGCACAAGGCTGGTTTCGAAACGACACTAATGCCGAGCAGTCCTTAGACAACGCGACCGTTCCTAAATATTTAGCGTTGCCTAGTCCTGAGGAAAGCCTACGGCAAGCAAACAATGTATCACAGGAGTTAAATAAGGATAACGTAGGGTTTAATCGTAACGGAAATAGAATAACTTCGGTGAAAACGAAAGAACAATGTCGAGATTTAGAGCAAGTAATAGATTATCCGCGCGAAGCTACTCGTTTATCGGGTGTTGGAGAATCTAAATTGATAGATAGAGATTTACCCCCTTGCACTTTAGTCTGTGAAATCGAGAATAAAAGGGCGAAATTAACAATAGATACAGGTGCAGCAGTTTCTTTAATATCAAAAGATTTTTTTTCGAACTTACGTGAGTTAAAGAAAGCTGAAACCAGAGAGGTAGAATTACTTAGTGTCACCGGACACACGATAGACACGATCGGAAAATTCGATTTAGCATTTAGAATTGGGCAATTGAACTTTAGACACGATTGTTATATAGTGGATCCCAAAATAACAGAACCTAATGACGGAATCCTAGGTAGAGACATAATCGAAAAGTATGACCTTACAATTTCTATAAAAAACGCGAAGCTTATTTTCCCAACAGGTAACGAAGTTACATTCTGGGGATTGGCAAACCTTCATAATAATGTTAATAACCCACGTAACCTAAGTGAGGATGCTAGTGAGTTTGCAATGATAGAAAGACAAAAGAATGGGAAGGATGGTTTATATCAAAGGGATTCAAGGGATTTAACCCAAACGAATGATTGTAGAGAAGGTAGCAAAGTGAATAAAAGAAAAAAACGAAAAGGAAACAAGAAAAATTTAGAGCGAAAATTTGTAGAAAAGGGAATTCAAAAGGGAGATGACCAGAGGGTGGTGGTGACAAAGAGCGACTCCACCATTCCCCCTAGGTCAGAAGTAGTTATCGAGGGGAAAGTATGTGGCAAACATGTCAGTAGCCAGATAGGTATAGTTGAGCCGTGTTTGCTTGAAAGGGAAGACCTGATAGTTGCTAATGTGTTAGTGAAGGTACCCAAACACAATTCCCATTAGGATAGTGAATGTAAGCACGCAGCCCTTAAAGTTAAAACGAGGAAGTAAAATAGGCACATACTTCCAAGCGGAAGAGGAATCAGAGGAGGAGGCAGCAATGGATAGGATATCTCGGGTTGAAGAAGAGCCCATGACCAGAGCCCAATTTGCTAGTTTATTTGATCTGAAAGAAGTAGGTAAAGACAAATTAACCCCTTTAATAGATTTATTATACAAATATCAGCAAGTGTTCGCAAAACACGATTTTGACTTGGGATATTGCGATTTAATTCAACACACTATAGAAACAGGAAACAGCCCACCAATTTATCGTGCTCCTTATCGCATTCCCTATTCCCAGCGGGAGTTAATGGATAATCTAGTAGGAGAAATGGTAAAGAGTGGGGTAGTCGAACCGTCCAGCTCCCCGTGGTCCGCCCCAGCTCTTTTGGTGAAGAAGCGTGATGGAAATTGGAGATTTGTGGTGGACTTTCGGCAATTAAATAAGATAACAAAAATAGATCCTTACCCTTTGCCCCTCATCCAGGAGTCATTAAGCTTACTTGGAAAAGCGAGATATTTCTCCACGATGGATACTTTGAGTGGATATTGGCAGCTACCCCTAAGCCCCGACGCGAAAGAAAAAACCGGATTCAGTACCCCGACGGGGCATTACCAATTCAACCGGATGGCTATGGGTCTTTGCAATTCGGCTGCAACTTTTCAAAGGCTTGCAGATTTGATATTAACTGGTCTAAAACACAAAATTTGCTTAGTCTATATGGACGATATCATGGTGTTTAGTTCTGACGTTAATTCGCACTTAGAGCGCTTAGAACTCGTCTTTCAACGCCTAGCAAAGGCCGGAATAAAACTTAAGCCCAAAAAATGCAGTTTTTTGAAACGACAGATAAAATTTTTGGGACATGAAGTCTCGGAAGAAGGGATTCGACCCGACCCTTCGAAGATCGAATGCGTGAAGAATTTCCCTCGACCACGCAACGAACGTGATGTAAGGGCCTTTTTAGGATTAACAGGCTACTATAGAAGACACATCTTTCAGTATGCAAAAATATCTAAGCCTTTGTCAGACCTACTAAAGACAGAGAACAAGTTTTGTTGGACTGAAGAACATGAAGAGAGNCAGGAAGACGATTGACAGCTTAGATAGCATCAGACTTGTTTACAGTTTGTAAAATACACTCTTGAAGTCGACCAATTTTTTTTGAAAAATTTCTAAAAACGGGAAACTTTCTGTTTTTCGTTACGAATAAATAAAAACGATATATTTGAAGTAGTTTTCTTCACTAATACATCAAAAACACATGCCCACAAACATCCAAAATGAAAAAATCGCGAAAAAAACTATGCGTTTTGAAAAATTGAATTTTGAAACAGGGGTTCTATAGAACCCCGCGCGACAAACACTGCGAGAGTAACTGAACGCGCCTAACCGTGGGTTAAGGGGGTAATTGTAATAATATAAACCTTTATATATTATTCATCTTGTGTATTAGAAAATCACAGCGATGACACGGATCATCTACATTTTCCTTCCGACCACAAAAGTGCGATAAGCACATCGGGTTCGGCTTTGACTTTGTTACAATGTTGGAATTTCTATCACAGATCAACACATTTACATGCATGTTTAGCCGATGCCGAAAGAATTTCTTTATTCTGTATGCAACGAAACGAACAGAGATTTTGCTGGGAATGGTGCAAAGTCCTTAATCGATTGCTCTCTTTTCCTGCTGGTGAACAATTAAGAAGAATGAGATGGCATTGGTTTGGTACTTCACATTCCTACAAATGGGACTCCTAGTTATGTGACAGCGAAGCTATTCTCCTGTGTTTAATATTATTTAATTAATGCTTATAAACGAATTGCTTTAAATATATTAAATAGTATTTTCTTAGCATAGGGTTACCGTTGAACAATTCACACAGAAACACTTATAGTGGAAAAAGGTGGGTTTATTGATAAGAAAGGATATGCACTAAAAATGTTCCTGTGGGATTTGTTTTCAATGGCAACCTTATGCTAAGAAAATACATAAAAAGAATAGCAAGCAAACAATATATTATAAATAGTTTTCTTAACTCTTCTGCCCAATATTTTATCGTAGTTCCAGACGGGTGGACTGTCAATTTTTGCCAAGATATAGATTTTTTCCCTATGTTTTCAGTTGTCTGCAATAGCCATTTTCTATAACTGAGCGTTGTTAGTCGCGTGTGAAGTTAGAAGGAAACTAAATGCAAGGAAAAATTGCATTGTCGTAACACATGAAAAAACTCCAGATTCTTCCTTCACAGTAAAATGCAGCTTTGCATTTTGGTGAATCCATAATAATTAATGAAAAATTTTCTTCCAATCAATTTATCGTTTCAACTCAGTTGCTGTAAATCGAAACCGTTGAAAATCCACTCCAGCCTCAACTCTCTGGGAATAAGGGCATTGAAAATGATGACGTAAAATCACTGGCTGGGAGCATCGAACAGAATGTTTCATTTATTAAGTCACAGATCAGTGAAATATTCGGTAGTATACGTACTAATTTATGATAGATTTACTTCTTATTATAATAAATCCGATTATTTGTGTGATGAATTCGACAGTACACTGAAACAAAGTACACCTTTTTTTTATAGAAACCTGCTTGTATACATGCTACAGTATGTATAAAAACAGCTTTCAATATAAATAAACAATAGTAGAAACAATATACCTTATTATAAAATAGTATACGAAATATTAAACTTACACTTAAAACCGCTTGTTTGTCGAAGAAAAAGAAATTGTTACTTCTGAATCCTACTTCGGCTTTCGAAATGGACATTAATACTTCCGTCTGAAAACAAAAAGAACACATTTCATTGTACTGTCGTTACGCGAGTTCTGATTTAAAATGTAATAAAAATCAGACATATTTTAATGACAATCGAAGTAAAATATTCAGTTTATAAATTATGAAAGAATATTTACGAATTTGTTATTGTCATCGTCAAGGAAATAAATGTCCATTATGCAAGTGAAAAACCGTTCCATCTGAAATGTATTAATTACATAATTCTTCTTAAACAATTTATAAGGTTAGGAGACAAAGAATTCACAAATTTTCTGTAAAATGAATGTAACTTACGTTCGAAGGAATTCTTGTCAAGTAAAGAAAATCTATTACTATAACAGTCCACAGCCAAAAGATTGCAAAGCATATCAACAGATATTCTATTGTAAACGATACGTAATGTACGACATATATACTTACAATGCTGATTATGGGAATGAAAACTGTTATGAACAGAGTATAAATAGTTTCGAATATTTTATCGATGCTTTTAATGAAATATACAATCGAAGACAGTTCTAGCAGCGATGTCTTGCTATTAACTTCTTTCCTTTGTATTTTTACTTTTATGTCTATAATAAATGTGTCTAACAATTGAATAGAAATGTATGTAAGAATAAAAAGGAAACCCGTACTATAACAAATGACGCCGTTGGTAAAATAGCCAAATATAAAATGAAAGTTACAGAAGCTTTCTTGCCAGAATAATTTGGAATATCCGTAAGAGTTCCTGTAATACACGTACAAAGTACCAAATAACAAACACACAAATACTTGGACCAAGCTGAAATACATTACAACCAAGTCTTGAAATTGCTGTAATTTTGAATGAATTTTCTTTGCGCGTTTTACGTTTTCGTCCAGGATTTTGATCGCCTTTATTATGTGAAATGCATTTGTATTATACAGGTAAAGAAATAACGGAGAAATTGAAAGTGCACCGAATAATAGGAAGCGTGAATGGGTTCCGTAGATATCCCATAAAACGGGAATGCCACAGAAATCATCAATATGTAAATTTATAAAAATATTTGATAATTGATCGGGAAACAAGAATGTAATGGAAATTATTGTTATAAAGTATATATTAAATAGAAGCGCTTTAACCCATAAATAATCCTGGCGCTTGGGTATAAATACACCAACGACGCGCAAGACGTTCAGATACGGACGAATTGCAAACAAAAGAGAATATTCCATGAAGAATTAATAGACTTATACTGACTGGTAGCCTCAAGAATAACCTCGAAATAATAAAATGAACATTTTTCTTCGTTGTCTCGATGTTCTACGTCTGTATTATCTAGTCAAGGTTAATACTTAATTCCTTACTAATTAGATACTTAATTAGCTACGAGGAAAATATGCGAATATTGATTAACATATTAGAAAATTAACGTTTTATGGTAAATCAATTTCAAAATCCATTATGTTATATTTATCATTTCGGACGGTAAATTTAAAAGCTTTCAAAGAATGTGAATGAACAACACGAATTAATTAAGATATTTTACTGTACATGTAGTGTATTACAGTTATTGCCGTAGATTAGCATTGACAAAATCGATATTATTCTTAACATATTCTAAAAGCAGGTAGTCGCATCACGTCAACTTTGTACACTGAAAAATACTTAATTTCTTTTATAATCATAATTTTATTATATGTTCGCCTACGAATGTTTTATTAATAAATTCATTTTATTTCGATGTTTATACGCTTAAATGTAAATGAGTACAACGAATAAAAAATAATTTTATTCGTTCGTTATTATTCTTGTGTCTATTTACACGAGAATAATAAGCAGTATTAAGCATATTTTACAACTGTATATATGTGCTGTCGTTAATACTTACTTCTCTTTCCTTTCTACAAAGAATGTTATTTCACCTTACCATCTTGGTTTAAACACTACTTTCCCTGCAGTACAGCAGAACTATTGCAGGAAAAGTCAGGATAAGAAATACTGTAACTCTAATTTCATCGAACATGGACTTATAATTTTTCAGCTGGAATGTATTGGAATCGTGTCGAATTAACTTTCGAATATTTCACAATCTCTATGTTTTGAGATTTCCTGAACCTCGAAGTCATATGTAATTGTGAGGCTCCGGAAGTAGGTCGAAATTCGCGCAAGATAATGTTTTAATTTCGTATAAAAAAAGTGTTTTTTTTATTATTATAATAATATATATTGTAAAAAGAAACCGTCTAACGCAAGGTGAATATATTATGTCCATATAAAGTCATATCTGTAGAAATTTCTGAGAAAAAACGAATTTCTCAGAAAGAAACAATAGATGAATTTGAGTACTTAGATCGAGCGTCTTCGATAGGAATCAAATTGTCAATCGGAGTTGACTCACCCCGCGATCTGGGCTCCGATCCCGTTACAATTTGTAACGAGGAGGGAGACCAATTAGAGAACGGGGGCAGATCGACATCGACCTATCGGAATGTTCGATCTGGGACTCAGAAAAACTTATAAAAATCGCGCAAAAATAGGATGTGACGTTCTTGGTTACTAAGTTCGGTGTGCTCCGCTTCTGGATTTTTCCTGCGGTTCGTCGTCCCGAAAGAAGTTTTCGCCATCCTGTCCCAGCAACTTTCGCCAAGGATAATCTACTGTGAGAATCACCCCTTCAAGTTGTGCTGTGCACCCCGGAGCCTACGTTTTCCTCATCATCTTCGCCAAAAGAAGAGAAGATCGTAAGATTGAACTTTGAACTGATTCACTCTGTGGATAGGCCTTACGCCGAAGAAAACAGTAGTTGTAAGAGAAATTTTTATATTTAATAAATAGTTTGCGATGGAAGACCTGTCTCAGTAAGTTTTTCCACTCCCACACGACAGTGCTGACCGCTCGACTGTCGCGACACTTTTTCCCCAATCGGCAAACCTCGCACTGGTGTCCCAGAAGTGGGATTTTAAGTCCCCAATTTCCACCGGGTCAACGACCTCGCACTGGTGTCAGCAAGCGGGATTTTTCTGATTGTTTTTGCAACATTTGCAAACAATTTCAGTCCCACAATAATTGTTGAGGCAGCCGAGAGAAAAGTGGGAAGGAACTATGGAAACAGAGACAGGCTCTCCAGCGCCAACTCGCGACTTAGGAGGCGGCTCGCTTAGCGCCCTTTCAGCCTTTAGTGGGATGATACCTACGTTCTCGGGAGACGTGGGGCGCGTAACAGATTTTTTTGATACGTTAGGAGAAGTCGCAGGATTAGCAGGTTGGACCCCTAAACAATGTTTAAGCATCGCTAAGTGTAAATTGACAGGGATAGCGAGAGATTTTGCGTGGCGCGACCTCCAAATGAAAGAAGTAACGGAGTACGCAACTTTTAAACGCCTAATGATAACTAGGTTTGACCAAGAACCATATTCCATTAAGGTACAGAAATTCCACGCGTGTACGCAGCGCAAAGACGAAAGAGTTCAAGAATTCGCCGTTAGGTTACAAACGTTAGTTAGCGCGATAATCGTAGATCAAACCGGGACAAACGAGCAAGAGAATGCCGTTATCAAGCGGTGTCAGCAGAGAGAATTGGACGAGAAACTCCGCATTCAATTCTTGCACGGCTTAAATGAAAAAATGAAGCGCAACGTAATGACACATGATCCAGCTACATTTTCAGAAGCTTTAAAAATAGCGATAAGAGAGGAAACAATTGAGCAATTGACTAGCAAACAGCGAAATTATATAGGAAACGTAGAGGAGTCGGCAGAGAATTCCCGAACTAAAGCTGACAAAACAAAACCCTGTAAGGAAGAGGCATTAGAAGCGAAAATTAACCAAATCGCTAAACAGATAGAAACTTTAGGGAAGAGATTAGACAATCGGTCCTCGACAGCGCAAACAACTAGTGCGCGAGGAGGAGAATTTAATCAAAATAGACGAATGACGACATCCGCGATGCGAGAGAGACAGGAAGTAGGAAACCCCAATACCTATTCGAGCTCTCCGCGCCGTTTTGGACAGCCCCAGCGCTCACAACAACCACGTTTTCCTACAAATAACCGACCGTCATTGAATTATTCCGTTCAGACCCCTTCGAGACGATACTCGGGATATAATTCACTTCCTTTTAGGTCAAATTACGAATGGGGACCGACAAATTATCGGCAATTTAATCCAAATTGGTTAGAAAGTGGAATTTATGCGTCGCCCCCACTACCCGATTGGTATAGAGGAAACACCGTTCCTCCACCCAATCGAGGGGAGTGGAGAGTAAACCCTAACGCTCCAGAATGGCGGGTTCCTGGTATAAATAATCCCTTTTCATCGCGATATCGGGAACAAATGCCTTTTTATCGAGAACAGTATAGACAGATGGGACCCAAAGACGATCAGGACTTTGAATATTTGCCTTTTAACCCGATGTCTTACGCACAAGGCTGGTTTCGAAACGACACTAATGCCGAGCGGTCCTTAGACAACGCGACCGTTCCTAAATATTTAGCGTTGCCTAGTCCTGAGGAAAGCCTACGGCAAGCAAACAATGTATCACAGGAGTTAAATAAGGATAACGTAGGGTTTAATCGTAACGGAAATAGAATAACTTCGGTGAAAACGAAAGAACAATGTCGAGATTTAGAGCAAATAATAGATTATCCGCGCGAAGCTACTCGTTTATCGGGTGTTGGAGAATCTAAATTGATAGATAGAGATTCACCCCCTTGCACTTTAGTCTGTGAAATCGAGAATAAAAGGGCGAAATTAACAATAGATACAGGTGCAGCAGTTTCTTTAATATCAAAAGATTTTTTTTCGAACTTACGTGAGTTAAAGAAAGCTGAAACCAGAGAGGTAGAATTACTTAGTGTCACCGGACACACGATAGACACGATCGGAAAATTCGATTTAGCATTTAGAATTGGGCAATTGAACTTTAGACACGATTGTTATATAGTGGATCCCAAAATAACAGAACCTAATAACGGAATCCTAGGTAGAGACATAATCGAAAAGTATGACCTTACAATTTCTATAAAAAATGCGAAGCTCATTTTCCCTACAGGTAACGAAGTTACAATCTGGGGATTGGCAAACCTTCATAATAATGTTAATAACCCACGTAACCTAAGTGAAGATGCTAGTCAGTTTGCAATGATAGAAAGACAAAAGAATGGGAAGGATGGTTTATATCAAAGGGATTTAAGGGATTTAACCCGAACGAACGGTAATAGAGAGAATAGCAAAACGAGAAATAAGAAAAAACAAAAAGGGAACAGTGCGCGAACAAAACAATCAAAGAAGAGAATTAAGATAGGCACATTTTTCAAAACAGAAAACGAGAAACAAAATAAAACATCGCAATCAAATGTTAACCCAACGCAAGGCTTTTCCTGGACGCTCACGAAAGCACACGCTAATGCGGATGCATTAAGTCGAGTACCTATAGCTCCAATAAATGAGATGCGCCCAATATATAGTAAAGCTCAGATTCGGGAACAACAGTTAGAGGACTCTTTTTGTAAAGAAATTAGACGACGTCTAGCGGAAAACACATCCCCGCAGGAACAGCGTCTGAACACAGATAGTAGCGAATTTTATCTAGATGTGGATCAAACATTATATCACAGGAAGACAAATCCAGAAAGAAATGAAACTTGGGACAGATTAGTCATTCCTAAAACTATGGTCGAATACGTTTTAAAGTTGTTCCATGATATTCCAAGTTCAGGACACTTAGGTGCGAAGAAGCTGAGAAAAAAATTACAGACGCAGTTTTATTGGCCTGATATGAATAAAGATATCATACACTATTGTCAGACATGTCAGGAATGTAGTTTGCGGAGACGACCTCTACACGGACATCAAGCTCCCTTACAAACATTCCCTAAAATCACAAAAATATTTGAGAGAACAGCTTTAGACATTCAAGGTCCTTTTCCTACTACCAATAATGGCAACAAGTATCTCTTAGTTTTTGTAGATCACTTTTCTAGATGGGCAGAAGCAGTGCCATTACCAGACGTTACTGCTAAAACCGTCGCCAAAGCGTTCGTTACACAGGTGATCTTACGACATTCAGTACCCAAACAATTATTGACTGATAGAGGTGCAAACTTTACTTCAAAAATGATGCGAGAAGTTTGTGATCTCCTACACATAGAAAGACTTCTCACCACCGCATATCACCCACAGTGCAACGGCATGGTGGAACGATTAAACAAAACTTTAATAGATATTCTGACGCATTATGTAGATAAGGACCAGCGCAATTGGGATGAAATGGTTCCATATGCCCTTTTTGCGTACAACACCACTGTTCATTCCAGTACAAACGAAACCCCATATTATTTGTTGTACGGAAGAGACCCAATTTATCCATTTGATGTTGTGACTGAACCCAACCGACCCAGTTACGATATTAGCGAAAATTATGCGAGCGAACTGAGGGCAAGATTAGCCTTAGCACACAAGCTGGCTCAAGAGCATGCAGAAAAGGCCGCAATTGATAGAAAGGTGTACCAACAACGAAGAAATAAGCCATACAAATTTTCTATAGGAGACCGAGTTTTCGTAACGGAAGTAACAGTCCCATTAGGGTTAAAGCGAAAACTAGCCCCAAGATGGCAAGGACCCTATAGGATAATAGCGGAGACAAGTCCGGTCGACTTTATTATCCAGCATGTGCACAATGGGAAGAAAATGCACACTCACGCTAACCGGATGAAGCCCGCGCTCGCACGAATGGAATTCGGATCTTTTGCAACGGACGAACCTAAGTCCGAAGCAGAGACTTCCGAAGCATCCACTTCAGAACAACCATTACCTACATCGACAGATCCTTGGGACGATTTTATTTTAGAATCAATTCAGCCAGGCCAGGTAGATGCTACAGAGACGCCAGAAATGAGCCCGCAAACATCAGTTGCGCAACCTTCACATAATTATGGTCTTAGAAGTCGGGGACCTGTACATGAATACCCGTGGGTTCTCCCGACCTCATCAAAAATCACGCTACCGATCGACGCGATGGTTACAGGCGCGGAAGAAAGCGAGGCTGTATCTCAAGGCCAGGGTCATGAACGCTTGCCGCCGCCTACGCCAATCGGATTATTTAAAGATTGTAAATGGTAGCCTCTTTTATTTAGTAAAAGAGACTATCATGAAGAAAAGAGGAGGAGTCATTAATGAGTTAAGAACAAATTAATTTTTTTTTGAGAGGAGAAATTTATACACCAATATTATGTATTAGAAAGCATAAATAACGTTCCTTTTCTTTATAGATCATGAAGGAAAAACTAATGTCATTGTATCTTTTTGCCATAATTTTGTATGTTATGCACGAATCCGCTGCTATCGTACCGCCATTGACCAAGGGAATTATATTCCTACCTCAAGGCAATTTTCTCATGACAACAAGCCAATGGACAATAGCTATAGAGATAACGTTCGAAGAATACGACCACTACCTTAACGACCTACGTCATCACTTAACCTCTTTGAATCCCGTCGTAAAGGAGGCAGTTCGTAGGAAAGATGATCCCATGAAGCCCTTATGGACGCTAGCCGCTGCTGAACTGAATAATGTACAGCAAGAACTGGACGCATATGAAAGCGAGTACAAGGAATTAAAGTCCACTGTGACAGTCANATGACAACAAGCCAATGGACAATAGCTATAGAGATAACGTTCGAAGAATACGACCACTACCTTAACGACCTACGTCATCACTTAACCTCTTTGAACCCCGTCGTAAAGAAGGCAGTTCGTAGGAAAGATGATCCCATGAAGCCCTTATGTACATTAGCCGCTGCTGAACTGAATAATGTACAGCAAGAACTGGACGCATATGAAAGCGAGTACAAGGAATTAAAGTCCACTGTGACAGTCAGTGAAGATCTGAGAAAAAAACGCGGATTAATAGACGCAGGAGGAAAAGTATTAAAATTTTTGTTCGGAACGGCTACTTCCGAGGAAGTAGAGGCGACCAACAGCAAAATAGACAAAATAAAAGTAGGACAGAAGAAAATGGTTCACATTTTGGAAGCTCAGGCTACAGTANTTAACCTCTTTGAATCCCGTCGTAAAGGAGGCAGTTCGTAGGAAAGATGATCCCATGAAGCCCTTATGGACGCTAGCCGCTGCTGAACTGAATAATGTACAGCAAGAACTGGACGCATATGAAAGCGAGTACAAGGAATTAAAGTCCACTGTGACAGTCAGTGACGATCCGAGAAAAAAACGCGGATTAATAGACGCAGGAGGAAAAGTATTAAAATTTTTGTTCGGAACGGCTACTTCCGAGGAAGTAGAGGCGACCAACAGCAAAATAGACAAAATAAAAGTAGGACAGAAGAAAATGGTTCACATTTTGGAAGCTCAGGCTACAGTATTAAACCAGACTATAGAAGCAGTCAAAAATAACAGGAAATATATCGACATGTTAATAAGACGTCTCGAATACTTAGACAAGGAATTACAAACTTTCAGTTATACCTTTGTGGTAAGTACTGCTCTTCGATACGCAGAGAATGCAGTCGCCGAATTCCGAACAAGCGTCACAAATTTAAGGCAAGCCATTGAATTACTGGAACGTGACCGAATAAGTTCATACTTCTTACCAAAATCTCAATTACTAAAAATGTTAGCAGATGTAAACAAGCAATTACCCAGCGGAATTTCCCTTATAGAACCTTTAAACGGGGATAATGTTTTTAAATATTATCAATGGATAACCACTACCGCCATTGCACTACCACGCAAGTTACGGATATTCGCAAGGTTTCCGTTGATCACACCAGAAGGGTACTTTGATCTATACGAAGTAGTGAAATTTCCTGCTTATTTTCCGCTTACGAAGGTGTTTGCGTATTATCAAGTGGAGTATCCTTACATTGCTCTATCGAAAGATAGACAGTTATACATGTTGTTAGAAGCGCATGATCTCCAAAAGTGCAAGAGCGGCTTGACAACCATTTGCGCGCCCGAGGTAGCAGTATGGAAATTACCCTATCAATCCTGCGAATACGCCTTGTTTATGGCCGACGAAGCGACGGTCAATGGACTGTGTAAAAGAAAAGTCATAAAATATCCAAAACCTATGTTTCGACGAATTGACGAGGAAGGAACGTGGATTTATTCAACTCCTTCACCTATGAACTTGATTGCAGAGTGTAATCAACTCACAAGTCCAAAACGACCGCAAGTAGCAATGATCAAGTTAAACAATACTGGCATCTTCAAATTACCGATGACTTGTGTCGGTCACGCGCCCGGCGTGCGCCTAACATCACACTTCCAGGCTAGAACAACTTACAAGGTCGCAATCAGAGATCATTATGTAGTACCGGCGATAACGGATATTCTTAATCAAACAGAAACAAGACTCCTCTGGAAGTATATTTATAAAAACACAACTTCAAGTATCCAAAAAAAAGAAACGGGAGATTGGTCCTTGGANGAGAAAAAAACGCGGATTAATAGACGCAGGAGGAAAAGTATTAAAATTTTTGTTCGGAACGGCTACTTCCGAGGAAGTAGAGGCGACCAACAGCAAAATAGACAAAATAAGAGTAGGACAGAAGAAAATGGTTCACATTTTGGAAGCTCAGGCTACAGTATTAAACCAGACTATAGAAGCAGTCAAAAATAACAGGAAATATATCGACATGTTAATAAGACGTCTCGAATACTTAGACAAGGAATTACAAACCTTCAGTTATACCTTTGTGGTAAGTACTGCTCTTCGATACGCAGAGAATGCAGTCGCCGAATTCCGAACAAGCGTCACAAATTTAAGGCAAGCCATTGAATTACTGGAACGTGACCGAATAAGTTCATACTTCTTACCAAAGTCTCAATTACTAAAAATGTTAGCAGATGTAAACAAGCAATTACCCAGCGGAATTTCCCTTATAGAACCCTTAAACGGGGATAACGTTTTTAAATATTATCAATGGATAACCACTACCGCCATTGCACTACCACGCAAGTTACGAATATTCGCAAGGTTTCCGTTGATCACACCAGAAGGGTACTTTGATCTATACGAAGTAGTGAAATTTCCTGCTTATTTTCCGCTTACGAGGGTGTTTGCGTATTATCAAGTGGAGTATCCTTACATTGCTCTATCGAAAGATAGACAGTTATACATGTTGTTAGAAGCGCATGATCTCCAAAAGTGCAAGAGCGGCTTGACAACCATTTGCGCGCCCGAGGTAGCAGTATGGAAATTACCCTATCAATCCTGCGAATACGCCTTGTTTATGGCCGACGAAGCGACGGTCAATGGACTGTGTAAAAGAAAAGTCATAAAATATCCAAAACCCATGTTTCGAAGAATCGACGAGGAAGGAACGTGGATTTATTCAACTCCTTCACCTATGAACTTGATTGCAGAGTGTAATCAACTCACAAGTCCAAAACGACCGCAAGTAGCAATGATCAAGTTAAACAATACTGGCATCTTCAAATTACCGATGACTTGTGTCGGTCACGCGCCCGGCGTGCGCCTAACATCACACTTCCAGGCTAGAACAACTTACAAGGTCGCAATCAGAGATCATTATGTAGTACCGGCGATAACGGATATTCTTAATCAAACAGAAACAAGACTCCTCTGGAAGTATATTTACAAAAACACAACTTCAAGTATAAAAAAAAAAGAAACGGGAGATTGGTCCTTGGAACTTTTAGGACGAGAATTACGAGATATTAATAAAGATATAGAGTCAGCAAAATCCGAAATTCACGCAAATTCGCCACTGTACCCTTATGCACCGACCGTTTGGAATTTAGTCTCTATCGTTCTAGTATCTTTTGTGGTCATAGTATTTCTGGTTGTTTGGATAAGTAAACATAGATGTTGTAAAAGAGGAAAGAGGAGAGGAAGAACACTCTCATTTCCTAGAGTCAGACAAGCAAGCGAGGCAAACCCTATGGAAGTAATCGAATTAATGCCTGTAGCAGTTAAACCAAGTCCTCGGGCTACAATTATAGATGCTGAGGAGACATTTATAACTCTACCCTTGCGTGAGGAATACCGAACACCTCCCGTAGAGGTAGAAACTCTCCCTTCCCAAGGAAGACGAATATAACGAACCGCGGGGAAAATACCCATACATCCCTGCAGATCATTAAAAGAAAAGAAAAATATTTGTTTATACAAGAAGAATAATACAGAAAGATATAATCTACATTATTTCCTTATATTATTGATAAATTAATTTCGTTCTCCTTTTGTTTAGAAGTCTTAGAGCATGGAAGACCAACCAAGTTCGGTGACCAGACTTTCAGAATCTAGCTCAGAGGCGACAAGCCATCCTCCAACAGATCCGGCGATGATCGCTCTTTTCGAGTGTCCTGTATGCTATAGTTTCATGTCTCCACCAGTATATCAGTGTAGAATGGGTCACGTGCTGTGCTCTTACTGTAAAGTTCGAGTTAGTAGCTGTCCCACTTGTCGAGGCGAGATGGGAAACTATCGTAACCTCATGTTGGAGAAAATGTCAGAACTGGTAGCCCTACCCTGCAAATATAGGGACAACGGGTGCTCCGAACTGAAGGTGCTCTCAGAAAAAAAAGGACACGAAAAGTATTGTTCTTTTAAAACTTGCCAATGTCCATCCCTAGACCCAGCTTGCCAATGGGAAGGCACATACCTACAGGCGCATCCTCATCTCTTAGAACGTCATCCGACAATGTTAAGTCTAGACGATCACGTAATACGCTTAGCCGTGACCGGACTAGACCTATCTTCATCTCTGGTATGGACCTCTCGTCTGAAATGTTATAGACGACATTTTTTAATTCAGATTATTAAAACTACGACAGAGAATGAATTGTTTTATCTATACATTATAGTCCGGATTTTAGCAAATAGACGAGAGGCTGCTCGCTTCCTAGGGAAGATAGAGGTTAAGGGGAGAGGGAGATCCATGAGCTGGAGTTCTGTTCCTCGGAGCATAACTAGTGAAGCTCAAGGGATTACGAGGAACGGCGACTGTTTGACCTTGACCTCGAAAGTAGCTGAAAGGATGCTAGAGCAACAAGCTCTAGGGGTGAGCGTGACTATAGAAAGGCGGGAAGTTTACGAGGATAAGACGGAATAAACAACAAGTCATTTCTCATCAACCAACTTTCTTTTTTCTTCTTATAAAAAAGTTTGAGAAACCTTCTAATTATCCTTGCTGAAGCTTTACTCTTTTTTAAAGCTTAACTTCGTGGGAAACGCTAAATTTAAAGTCGAACGAACTCTTGTCTTCACAAGTCCAGCGATGGCAGAAAGCACATCCAACGCAGACCTCTACGCCGCCTTACAAGGTATCTGGGATGAGGATGAAGACGAAGAGTGGGAACCCCCGGAATCCCCTCTTCCGTCGCCAGGACGCAACAGGACAACATCGACTCATAAAATGAATGAAGAGGCCGTACGACTAGCTTTAACGCGAGTTAGGAGGAAGCTGGAGTCACCGCGGCCAGAACTACTTGCTTTACCCTTGGGAGCTGAGCTTCCTCCAGACTTACGTACAGAGATAGAGTCAGTGAATAAGAAAATTATGAATAAAAAAGCGGGAGGCCTGCTAGGAAGGACAGTGGAACCAGAAAATCAAAGAGACAAAAATCCCGAGGACAAGAAGTCTGTAAGGGAAGCTCGGGAAGGAAGCGGGGGGCCTCAACGATCATTACGTCCGCTTCCGTTCCAACAAGCTCGGGAAGCACGAGGGAGGACTAGAAGGTGGAGAACACCGGGAGCACCGAGTGGATCACAAATAGGATTTCGGACACAACAACCCACTCCCGAAGCACAGGGGAGAGCTCGGGGATGGAGGAGGCGGGATACACCAAACCGCCCGGGTTCCTCATCCCAATAAGCTAAAGTCAACATAATAATAATAATAATAATTATAATAATACTAACAGGAGACCCTTCCTTGCAAGGATCAGCGTCATATAAGATCGCCCGGGAGCCTCCCCACGGCTCAATATCCGGACGAAGAAACTCTGTCTGCTTCGGAACACCGAAACGAAAATTTTTCTTGTTCAAAAAAAAACAAAAAAAAAAACAAAAAAAACTAAGAACAAATTTTTATATAT